ATATATATATATATATATATATATTACCACTTGTACTAATATCCCTATTTCACAGTTTTTCACTTATCACGGGGCTTCAGGGTACGAATCCCCTGTGATAAACGAGGGACTACTGTACTGTATATCATTTTCTGCCAATGAAATTCAGCATATATAAAGCCAAAGTTCATAAAATTAATCACTTATTTATTCATAGGCCTACATCCAACAGCCAGATTATTTTTTTCCTGTTTCCTTCCTGTTGTGTGGACGGCGACAGACTCCTGTGGACAGGTATTTGACATTGTCTGCATGAAACGGAGCAACGTGCCAACACAGAGCAGAGCCAGTGCCAAGCAGATTAATGTCCAAACATTCTCTGTCAGCCCTATGAATACACTCTCTCAAACAGGTGTGCACACATGCACACACACACACATGCACAACTCAGACTTAGCACTACAGGACACACAACCTTACCTAACAAACAATTGCAAACTCACGGCAAAAAAACGAACACGTGTTTACACACACTGGTTTGTGTCAGTATAGGACTTAGTCGTGCCCAACAGTGTCCTAATCAGAGCGAGCAGGGCAGATGTGACGAGACCTGCTGTCTTCTCAATACATCTCCCCTCATCATGCACAGTTTAATCAGAAACTACTGAATGTGTGGTCTTACAGCCTGCCTACATGTTGGAAAAAATACCATATGATGGCTACTATGCTCAACGTATCCATAGAGAATGAGGACACCTGCGCTGTCATCCGTCACAATGCCGGTTGGGATCATCATCCTCACCTTCATACGTTCCTATTTCCAGTAGTGTGCCACTCTCCTCGAGTTGTAGGAAGTCCTCCACAGACAGGAAGTTGTAATCCACCCCTGGGACCTCTCCGTCTCGAGGGGCACGGGTTGTACCTGTGCAAAGAAAATAAAAAGATGATGTAGCTAAAAACTCAACATTATGTGCGTTTGCATTTTGAAGGAAATATGATTTTCTCACACCTACAACATGAACAGCCTGTCATTACAGCTAAAATGATGCATTCATATCAATTTTGTTTTCTGATGAGGATGAGTATGATGATGATGATGAGCCAGCAGCAGGGGTTCTGAAATGAAGAGGGTCTGATTGTAATTCAGCACCATCACTGGGAGCTCAGTATCTGTTGAGAGGCTGCAAATATTATGTCAAGAAATTAAATCACGGCTCGCATCTTGAGCAGTTGATCTGTCTCATGGGAAAGTGCTGCCTGCCAAGTCAGAGGAGAACCTAAAGGTCACCTTTCGCAGTGAATTGCTACTGATGATCTGTGATCAATCTATCAGTATTTTCATGGAAAATGGAGAATCTTAAAATAATTTATAACTGTAACGCTTAAGCTTTTTTGATTGTGACTGCATTGCTCTGCAACTACAGGTACTGAACTGAACTGTGGCTGGTTTATTGTGTTGCTATAATGGAACGTCAAATTGAGATTATATAAACTGTATAATCCATCCATCCATCCATCCATTTTCTTTACCCGTTTGTTCCATTTTGGGTCACGGGGGTCGCTGGTGCCCATGTCCAGCAATCACTGTGCGAGGGGCGGGGTACACCCTGGACGGGTCGCAAGTCCATCACAGGGCCACATAGAGACAAACAAGACAAACAAACATTCACTCTCTCACTCACACCTAGGGACAATTTAGAGTTACCAATCAGCCTAACATGCATGTTTTTGGTCTGTGGGAGGAAACCGGAGTACCCGGAGAAAACCCACGCATGCACGGAGAGAACATGCAAACTCCACCCAGAAAGGCCCCTGGACCGGGGTTTGAACCAGGGACCTGCTCGCTGAGAGGCAGCAGCTCTACCAGTTGCGCCACCGTGCTGCCTACTGTATAATCCAGGTTCAGTTATTTTCTTTAGTAAAACCAATGATGTTGTATGTTAGGCACTTTTTAAAAAGACTCGCATGGTAGAATTTTGAGTCTAAATGAACTCTGGGGCCTCAAATTCTCTTTAAAATTTTACGTTCATCTATTTTTTTTGTTTGAGATCCAACTACGTTCCACTGATCCCATCTCAGGGTAATAATTTCAAGGATTCAAGATTCAAGGATTCAAGGTTCTTTATTGTCATTCACATCACATGTGGCACATGAAGTGGAACGAAAATCAGTCAGTACGCTAGCGCGTGACGTCACTCAGAGCACAAAGCATAGAATTACAGTGAATAGATCTGCCCAGTAATGGATCGGTCACATTGTCACCAATACCCGACCCAGAAGGTTTTCAATGTTGATACTGATATTGGTATCGGATCGGTGCATCTCTAGTTCTGTCACATGTCCACAGCCTTGGGGAAGGGAAGGGTGAGGAGACAGACAAAGCATCTTTGTTTTTTCTAAACATGTCAGGAGGAGTTGAGATAAGTCTGCCATCAAGGCCACAGTTTGGGTCAGACAGAACTCGTGAATTGCTATTTCTGCCTTTTAAAGTCTCGCTGGTACATTTCTCTGATGGTGACTCCAAACAGTCGAACCGATTCCTTACGCCGAAAGTCAAGCTCACAGCTTTCTCCAAGATTATTCCCACCATTTTTGGGTGCTGCCAGAAAGTTCAGTCCTGATAACAGCCTTCTCCAACTCTGACGCAGCTCCACATAATTCAGACTGAGTGCTGCCAAGCTTCGACACATCCACACAAATTTGTAGACAATCCAGATTTCACCAACCCAAACAGCAAAAAACCAGCTGTCATCATGAATTCAATTTGTTTCCGTCGAGGGTCCTCCTTATCCTGACTCCTGTCGGGAGAAGTTGATTCATTTTGTTGAGAGACCAGCTGATCCTTCGAATTAGGAAGGTATGCAAGGAAAAAAAAGAGGCTCTTTGAGGGTTCACAAGACGAAAGAGTGCAAACAGGGAAGCGGGTGGGGGGGGGGGGGGGGCACCGGGAGACATGTCTGACTTCACCGGAGCACAGAGAGCAAAAAAAAAAATTACACAAAACTAAGAATATACTAAACTAAGAATACACTAAACTAAGAATACACTAAGCACCAATAGTACTATACTATAAATAGGGGTCTGTGCTGTTTTGCTTTGTAATGAGGACAGTTTGTGGGAATAACCTGACACCAGAAAAGGAAGAAAAGGGCTGCAGTGTGTGGGACTTGACAACGAAAGACAATACGACATAACAGAGTTGACAGCAGTTTTAACTCATCTGCGATCAGAAGAGTTTACATGCTCTTATATCCACTTACACTGGAATATAACACCAACTTTTAAGACCGCTGCTCATACAGCAGTGTGAACCACAACAGACCATATTCCGTTGTGCAGTTTCTTAATAACAGATTACAACATGAAAAAAAAGAATTGCACCTCTATCTGATATCTCAGTTATACTGTGAGGGTAGCGAGATGAGGAGATACTTTAGAAGGAAACGTCACATCAAAATATATGCAAACTAATTCTGAGCAATCCAATTTTTGCCTTTAAATAAACATTCTATATAAAAGCATGTTCTTTTTCAGAGTTCTAAATTATCTCATCCTCAGGGCACAATGGGTCAATGATGAGAATTAAAATGATGGTTACAATGTGCAGTGACGCTCACGGCGATCCTATCTTATCCCAAATAAAGATGTTGGACCACTACGTTTGGACACAAACATTAAAAGAACTAGAGGACTTTATTTTAGATGCATACGGTTATTATACATCTACATTACTGTTTACTGTGATGTGTCTTAGACACATCCTTTTGCAGTAAAACATTCAACATGGCTGCCTTTGCTGGTTGTATGGGCAGTGTAATATTTATTACACATATGATGTATAATGCTAATAAACAAGTGATATGCCAATGTCCTCCGTTGCTGAGGGATTTAAATAGTGAATGTTTGTAGTTTTGGAAATGAGTGTTTTTCAGACTGGAACTGAACAGGGAATGCAAGTAAACTAATGTTTTTGGTGTAAGATAATCAAGTGGATAGGAGTTACACTGTGTATAATAATAGAGGTATAGTAGGTTATTTTTCCTGTTTGTTTGAGGTGGTGCAGTGTGACTGATTCTGACGAGTGGAGGGAGCAATTTCATCCACACCCAGGTGCAATGGTGGTGCCAGGCGGTGGCCAATGATGGTCTTGTGGTGGCCACAGTAGATTAATCTTCAGCCATCCCAATCATTTGAGGAAATATATAAAAACTAGAAAGCATAGTTTCCTCAATGATAGAGGTCAGTTTAAACAAAAGAGTTATTTAAATATGATGGTGGCCATCTCGGATTTTAATGTGACTACCCAGTTTACAATTGTGAGCTTTCTTATGGCTAGATGTAGCATCACACCAAAATAGAAGTGGGCAAGTTGCTTATTTTTCAAGTTATCTAATTCAGTTCAGTTTATTCATGTAGCTCCAACAACTGAAATTGGCTCAGACACTGAACAGAAACATTCACATATATAAAAAGCCAATCAGTAAAAGTTATTTATCTAAGGAAGCCACCTTACAAGGTTAACATATAAACATATATATGGCACCAGCCATCATGGATTTTGATGTGAAAATCAAATTTTTCAAAAAAAATCTTTCTTACGCCCAGATGCAGCCAAACACCAAAATGGAAGTCGGTATCTCGATTATGTTTCAAGTTATCATGCTCACAGCACAGATGGACAGACGGATGGATGAACAGACAAACAAACGGATGAAAAAGCGTTATTTCTAATTGCCCCTCTTTGCTCTGCAGCGGGACCATTAAAGGCTACTAGCCTTGACAGAGACCCTTTGTTCACATTAACAATGTTGTAACTGGACCCTGGTCATTAAAGTCTGAACAGAAATTGTTTTTTTTCATTCATTCAACCTTTATTTATACAGGTTAGTCTCATTGAGCCACGAAGACTTGTTTACAAGAGGGACTTGTTACATACAGAACATAAAGTACAGACAAGAATAAAAATAAACAATAACAATAAGCTACAGTAAAAATGCAGTTAAAATAAAAGTAGTGATATAAAACAATACACCAGGGTGCCATAAAACATGGTTGAATACTAAAAACAAGAACATATTTGCTTTGATTTTTCTATTGACATTATCAAATGTTTGAAACCCCTTAAAGAAATCAAGGTGGACAACTTCACTTCCTGTTGCAAGGTGTTCCAGGTTGCAGGAGCTGAGTAGGAAATAAGTCTTTTTGTCAAGTTCAGTCTGCACTGAGGGAACGCTGAAGGTAATGGACTGAGAGTGCATGTTATAACTGTGTAACAAGTGGGAGGAGATATAAGAAGGTAGCAGACCAAGGAGGGATTTATAGATGAAAATTAACTAGTGAGAGTCTATGTGTGGATAATGATGACCAACGGACCAGTGAGTACAGAGTGCAGTGATGGGTATGTTAGTTACAACCAGTTATGAATCTTAGCACACCATGGTAGACAGCATCCAACATCGGCAAGCAGCTGGCTGGGGCATTCATGTAAATAATGTCACCATAATCAATGGCCGGTAAGAAAGTAGCAGTTACGAGGCATTTTCTGGCATTCAGAGTTAAGCAAGATCTAATTCTGAAAAATAAACTCAATTCAATTTTAATTTCAGTTTCTTTATCAAGTTTTTGATATGTGGTTTAAAAGAGAGATGTGCATCGACCAAAATTCTCAAGCATTTGTAAGAATCTACAAACTCAATAGGAACACCATGCATGGATGAGATAGGAGGAAGAGTTGTTGGCACCAACTTTCTGTTGGAAAACAACATCCCTTTGGTTTTGTCAGCACTTAGCACCAGTTTGAGAAGGAATAAGTCTGACTGAACGATGTCAAATGCATATTGTAGAAGCTGGAAAACCTTGGCAATTGTGTTAGCTCGGCAATAAACAACAGTGTCGTCGGCATAGAGATGCAAGGATGTGTCA